GCAGGATACAATTGGTTTGAGATCATTTACTGCTGGAGGAAAGTTATTGCAGGTACAACTTACTGTCTCAGTTTTGCAATATTAGCCCTATGCTATTGATGTGGTTATAAATTCTGGAGGGGAAGGATCAGGGGAATGTAAATAACAGTTGCTGAAAATTTAATTTTGGCTTCTGCATGGCTGCAGTCTGATCTAAGATGGTTTATTAATGAAGCCTGAACGACTTTGTCTTTTATGGCATGTTCTTATTGCTAAACCAGTAATGATGTTGGAATTTGATTGGTGGAGCATTGGAAATTTTTTCATTATTTATTGTATGATTCTTTCGAGAGTAGTGGAGAAGTGTGCCACTATGCCCTCCACTTCTTTGGTCTTCAGTGAGGATTGTGTAGATTATTATGTAGCTGAGAATAGGGTAGTTTTGTTTAACGATTCACTCTTACATAAATGATTACTCGTTTTAAAATTGTTAGTTGAAGTGGCTTTTATGAAACTGATATGTAATATTAGTTTAAATAGTAAAGAAATAAGTTGTATTTTTGAGATTTAATTTATTTTGAAGTACTTATAACAGTTTATTAAAAATTTAAGGTCACAAATTAACTTTTTCAATTGAACTAAGTCTAAACAGACATAGAATCGTGTTGAATTATTTTATCATGTTTTCTGACAAACTAAATACCATATGACATCATTCCTGAGCTATATCTTTTCGTCAAAAAATTTTGTTGTCTAAACATCTCACTTTAGCATTGCAGATAAACAGGAGGATGGAATTCGTATTTGCTAGTCATAGCTTTGATGTCTGGGAGAGCTGGACATTTGAAGGTTCTTTGGATGAGTGTAGACTGGTAAATTGCAGAAATCCTCTGGTAAGTTTCTTATTCACTCTGTAATTTGTAATTGGTTGCAAGCTTTAACGCAGACTTTTTAAGATATATTTATCAATTCTTGAAACAAAAAAATGTGAAGTTGAAATTTCAAAGGCTTGCTTGCAGCCTGACAAAATGGAGTTGTTATTTACTTGTGCCACTGCAGCCAAGGACACGCACAATCAGTTTCATTAGCCTACCTGTGTCATACTGTAAAATTTTTGGCCATTTTGTTACTTAACAAAATATTATTCATTTTCTTTGGAAGATTTTGAGTTAAAGTAGTTAACTTTTTGTTGCATCTGAAATCATTTTTTTGTTCGTAAGAATGCATCACAACCAATGTAGTATCACACATCTTTTCCTCTACTTCTGTTGAATGGAGGTTAGGGCTGGCTCTTTGCCGCTTGCTTGCTAAATATAAATGTTCCATTAGCAGATGGGAACAATACCCTCTCTCTCTCTCTCAGACATTGACACTCCTCTCTCTCTCTCTCTCTCTCTCTCTCTCTCACACACACACACACGCACACCCACTTATTATAATAATCAAAAGTCTTCCAAATTTACAGGCTGTGTTGGACGTACGTGTAGAAATTGTTGCATCTGTGGGTGAAGATGGTATTACTCGCTGGCTTGATTAAGGTGTTGAATGTTCAAAACTAATAGCTCACAACACGTCTAGCACAATTTGTTTATGCTTAAGATTTATGATTGAGGAGACATAGCGAGTCAAAAAGCATTCCATTTTTCACATTCGAATCAGGGTTGTAAGCTTGTTTTGTATTGCTTATTGATCTCTTAACATGATAAATTTGTTGTAGGTTATGGGAGATATTTGTAGTTTTATTCAAATATTTAGGTAATTTGCTTGTTTTTCACTTCCACTTCGTCGATCCCTACTCATGCAGAGGCTTTCGAGCCAAGTGAAAAATGTATGAAGTAGTTACATCTTTCTTTTAGTTTTCTCTTTGCCACAATTCTGTCATACTTGAACCAGAAACCTCGCCTATGAAGTAAAGAATGTTCCTCTGCCAATGTATTTATAAATCTCATAGCTTCTCCATATGATTGCCCCTCAAATCTCTTGATAAGGAAGTAATTACACAATCATTGCCTCGTATAGACTTCAAATATTCATGATTTTCAATCTGGAGTTCGTGGACATATCATTTTCCTTGAAGGGAGGCTCTATAATCGTTACACTGGGTGTGTAATTTGAGTAATGATGTATAGCGTCATTGATGTCAAAATACTAGTTTAGGTGACATTATTGTGACATTAAATGAGAAGCACAATTAAATGATTTACTTAATTGCATCTCTCATTGAGCTTAATGACATCATGTCATTTAGATTGGTGATGTAACATTCTAGTACTAGACAGCATTATCTGTGTAATTTTGGTTAAAATATGATATTATCTATTGGTTATTAGTTCTCATGATACGCAATAAAATGAATAATGACTAGTAACAAAGAGTGAAGTAAACTTCTGGATTTCGCTCGTTAGAAAAGAGATATATTATTCTCATTGGATATGAATTCAATAAAATGTGACTTGAGTCGAACTACTTTATGCTCTCTCTCTCTCTCTCCAAATAAAAAAAATTCGTCCCTCGAGGCATAGCCTAGTGGTGCAAAGGACAAGAGTGAGGTTATCTCACGCCTTGCTGGCAGCCGCAGTGTGAGGGTTCGATTTCTGAAATATGGAATTGGACACCTTGTAGTTGCAGTGTACAGACAGTTCTTGTTTCCTGACTTATTATGGCACATCCCGCGATTTACCTCCTTCTCAAAGCTCTAGGGCCGGGGCAGTGGGGGCCTTCAAGGTTGGGAGTTAACCTTTTTTTTTTTTTTTTTAAAAAAAAAAAAGAAGAAACAAAATCAACTTGAGAAAATTGCATAGCTATCAAAGTTGTCTTCTCAATGAGCAAATCTTAACAAAGACTTGTGTTTAGATAGTTGAATGTCTAGAACGTACGCAATGTGTTATTCTATTAGTCAAGAATAATTCATCTGGTACTGTATATTACTTTACAATCCTCCACCGCCCAAAATTAATTATAACTCCAAAATTTTATATATGAATTTTATTTTCCGTGTGAATCTAATGATTATTTTGTTAAGTTCATTTATGAAAATAAACATATACTTATTCTAAAAATCAAATAGCATAAGATGATTTGATCAAGTAAAACTAGGAAAATAAATTGCATAATCAGAATATCAAACGAAATAATATTTTAATCGTGCATTCCATTTAAAAATCTTCCCAAACACACTATTCATAGTAGATAGCTCATCAACTAGAAACATTAAAAAAGAGGTACCAAAATGAAAGATAAGTTCCAATTAGACGTTAATTAGAAATACGAAAGTAATAATATAAAAATAATTTAGCAAGAAATTATTAATAAATAATTAGGGTCCCCTCTTAAAAAAATTGGGAAATTGGTACATGGGGGTCCCTAAACATTAGCTAGAGTATCGCTTGAGTCCCTATTCTTAATTTTTGACATTCACATCCCCAAACTTACATACACTGTCACCCTTTTAAATGGTCTTGTCCAGAATTTTAAATGGAATAATTTAGTGGGGATAGCAAAAAAATTCGCCAAACTCAATATTTGCGGCCCTAGCTCGAGCTCGGCATAAATCACCCGCTTAATCGAGTATTAGGGTCGGGTATGGGTTACAAGGGCCCCGCCCCGTTTAACTTTTTTTTAAATAAAGAATTTAATACTTTAAATATAAAATTCCAAAAATTTTCATTAATTCTACTAAAAGATGACAATTGAGATTATTTAAGGAATATAATAAACAATAAAAACTTTAATTTACCAAATATAGTTGAATAATTTAACTTTTAAAAATAAATAAATCAATTTTAAAAAAATTAATAATTACATTATTGTCTCATTTTATTATTTTAATTAATGTGAGCAATAAAATGAATCATAAAAAACTTTTTTAAAAAAATTTAAAGTATTAAAGGGGACAAGGGTCCCGCCCCATCCCGCCTTACCTTAAAAGGGTAACGGGATGGGAGGCAAGAGAGGTGGCCCCAATTTGAACATGCCGTATTGCCATCCTAATAATTTTGTTTCACTTTGAGTTGCTCGTGATGAGGATTTTGGAATTAGCTTATGGCAAATCGATGAAGATGACAATTATTTTTGTTATTTTCTTTTTCATCTAAAGATAGTTGTATTGATATCACAATTTTTATTTATTGGACCACATTTAATTTAATTATATAAAAGATCTTCCACCTTTATTCCTTATCATATTTATACTTTTTTAACCTTTTTTGGTTAAACCACAGCATTATCGGGCCACCCACCAAATTGAGGGAAATCTACAATTTTAGTTAAAAGAAAAAAAAGAAAAAGCAGAAGAAAAAATATGGTGTCTTGTAAGTAGGCTCCCTTGCCCGATCAAAGGGTACGCGAACTGAGCAACTTAGCTTGACCCATTTAACAGCTCTACATCAACTTTTGATTAATTAGTATATTGTGTCCTCAATAACAATTTTTGTCCACAAAATCGGTTATGTACACATAAAAGGATTTATTTAAGAATCACATATTTAAATAAAAAAAACTAAAGACAAAGTATGACAAAATTTCTGGATATATATTGTCATGAAAGAAAATTATGTTAATTAATAAATATTTGGGAATAAGAATGTAACACAAAAAAAAATATAATAAATATAAAAAAATAAAAATTGAAACATAAGTACGACAATAATCAAAAGTTGAAAATGTTAAGTGAAATTAAATATGATGAAATAAACAAAAATTGTTGGATCAATATAATTATCATTCATTTAATTGTCTTTCTTAAATAGATCATGTGCCTTGCATAGTATTTTCAACAAATTTTTGGACGGAAATGTACTCATTATGTAAGTTTGGGATGTGATCACCAAAACATCAAGAATGGGACTACTAGAGTAAATATTTGGGGACTCCACGTAAAAATATTCCAAAGTACTGTTTCCTTGCATATCCTCCAAACAAATTATGACACACTCTAAAGGTAACTATCCACCTCTCGTCACGTGTATGGTCCAGATTTCACCCTTCCACTGCCGTACAAAGACAGTTGCGTCCCATTTAAACCTTCACGGCTCCACTCCCATTTGTCTCACAGCAAAAACCTCTGAAACGAAAAATTCATCTGAGGAAAACATATATAATTTGAGAAAGAACCTTTTATTTGGAGGATTTGAAGTTGAATTTGGTGTTATATATGGTGTCAGTGTGCCGGAATCCAGTGCCGGGTCATGATTTTTATTCCTACAATTACATGGATCGGAATTCGACGAAGATGGGTCTGACGGCGATGAATAATGCTGTTAACAATTTATCGATACCGGCGGCAAGTGGGAATGCGGGTCCGGGTGTGGAGGACCAGAATAAGAAGGTCCGGAAGCCGTATACTATAACCAAGTCTAGAGAGAGCTGGACAGAGCAGGAACATGACAAATTCCTCGAAGCCCTTCAACTGTAAGTATATGTGTGAAGAGATTTATTTATTTTATTTTTTGGTTAAATATATAAGGAATTAAGATTATTTTAGCTATTTGATATGTTTGATTTTGGAATTAAATAATGGTAAAGAAAACGTTATGAAATTTATGTAAAAAAAGGAGCGGGGGGGGGGGGGGAACGTGTGTCCACTTTATTTTATTTGAAGGATATGAGCAGTTTCTGTTTGTTAAAATCATGAGGATTTGGTATTATATGGTTAGGAGAAGTTTGCATATTATTATTGCCTCCCTCTTCCCTTAAAAGGAAAACAATATGTCTTGATTTCGTGGATATTAATTTTTCAGATTCTTTACTCAGTACGTGCAATGCTAACATAAACGAACTGGGTTACAAGTTACAACCTTGCATTGTCGAAGTCTAGGAATGTGGAATCTATCTGATTAGAAAACATTATTTACTGCAGTGGTCTAATCTTGTATATTAAGGCATTAGGTGATTGTAGAAGTTTGTATGTTCCATAATTATGGGACTTACAAGGAAGCCTGAGTTGCTAACTTAGTGGTTGCTTGAAGCCTATTTGAATATGACTTTCAGGGAAGTGATGATTTTTGTTTTTCTCATTTGAAAAGATGAACGGAAATTTAAATCTGATATCAGGTTCTTTTTATCGTGTTGGACCTGTGTTTATTTTATTTGGCTTTCTTTTACTTGTCAACTTTCAGATTTGATCGTGACTGGAAAAAGATTGAAGCATTTGTGGGGTCAAAGACAGTTATTCAGGTAATGAAGTTGTTTCACATTTTGATATAATTTTAATTTTCTTCTTTAAATGAGTCTAATAGGTAGCAAATTGTTGAAATCTTTTAGAGCTTTATGCCGTGAGGTCATGATATGTGATAATCAATATTACCCTTTTTTTGAGCTTTTTGGGAGTTTCACGGTCAAGAGTCAAAAGTCACTTTCAAGTACTATTTTGAGAGTTGCTAAATCACTCAATGGTAGATCTTTTTACCGTCTGGAAATTTTTTACTTCATTATCCATTGTTCCAATTATTCAAGTAGTTAATCTATTCGAAAATCAGGAAAATAAAATGTAAGGTGTGTGTTGAAGAAGTCAAAATGGGTTTTCTAAAAATTAAGGAGTGAAAATAGGTTTTCTAAAAATTTCCTTTCAAAATTTGAATCTGCACGAACTTTGAGGAATAGCTCAGTGGTCAGGCCTTGTGTTTGCTCCCAATGGTCATCGATTCGAGTCCCCTCAGAACCACTGAGATGAGTACCCTGCTGTAAATTTAAGGGTCTCGTGGGATTAATCGAGAGGCGCGTGAGCTAGCTCGGACACCCACAATCATTAAAAAAAAGAAATTGAATCTGCACAAAAAAGGCAAAAAATGATTTCTGAAGAGAATGTGATCTGAGTTGTTCTATTGTGCAAGAGTTGAAGGTAAAAAAATTTTTTTTTAGAAAATATGTACTCTTAAAATATAAAATAAATTCATTTGTATACTAAAATAAGTTTTAATAAAATGTAATCTACTTGCAAAAATGAATTATTTCAAATAATCCTAACTTCTTCATCTTCGTCTTGTTTTGCTAAGTAAGTTGGGTGATAGCTCATATGTAGGACTCTATAGTTTATCAAACAAACAACCATTTTCTTGCAAGCCAGCGACATGATATCTACCAAATGTAGAAAATAAAGGACCACATGATGTTTTTGTGTGAATTGTATTTTTATTCATCTCTATATTCCAATATTTATATACAAATGAATGGGAGTAAATATGGAAAAATAATCTCCTAAATTAGGAGAGCTAATAATCCTACCTAATTATGGAAATAATTAAATAAGGTACATCAATCGTTCTAAAATCATCCATAATCACCTACAATCAATCAACCGGTTTCCTACACCCCTCTCAAGTTAGATGGTAGATGTTGACCATATTACACTTGCAAATGAATTCATTAAAACTTTATCAGGGTAGTTCTTAGTTGAAGATAGCTGCTATTTGCTTCTTTTTTTTAGGGACGTAGGTCGTACAAATTACTCCATCTTCAACTTTTTCTGTAATAAAGCGTTTGTCTATTTCTACATGTTTGGATCGATCATATTACACTAGATTAAGTGAGATATTAATCATTGCCTTATTATTGCTATACAGTTTGATTGGAAGTTTTTGACTAACATGTAATTCTTCCAAAAGCTTCTTTAATCATAGTCCTTCGCAAATTCCTTGTGCCACTGCTCTAAATTTAGTTTTTGTACTGCTTCTTGCTACGACATTTTTTTACTTCTCCAAGTTACGAAGTTTTCCAATGCATGGGTACAATAACCTGGCTTTTGTAGAACTAGGCAAGTCAACATCGATGAACACTTCTATTTCCTTCCTCTAATTTTTCTTGAGGAATAATCCCTTTCCCGAGGAACCTTTTAGATAACCGAGAATTTTAAATGCTGCTTGCATATGAGCTTCCTTTGGTAAGTGCAATTGTTAACTTACCACAGATACTGCGAATGCAATATCTTGCCTAGAATGAGGCAGATAGATTAACTTCCCAACTATTCGTCGATATCTCTCTCTCAATTGACTTTCTAGTTTCTAGTATTTTTTTCATTTTTTCCTGCGTCAATTGGTGTGTCGCTTGGCAATGAAACACTGATATCCTTTCTTGACGTTGTAAATTTCATTCCCAGGAAATATCGCATCTGTTATAGGTCTTTTACCTCGAATTCAGTTGCCAGGTGTTTCTTCAATCTTTCTATTGCCATTGTGTCGTCTCCAGTTAGAATTATGTCGTCAATGTATACAAATTGTTTTAATTCTACTTTTCGATTGTTGGAAGAATATGGTGTGATCAGACTATCCTTGCTAATGTCCTTGTTCAACACTTTACCAAATCGATCAAACCATACTTTTGGTGACTGTTTAAGATCATATTGTATTTTTTGGATATATAAACTCGATTTTCTTCTTGTAAGTAGAAGCCTAGTGATGGTGTCATGAACACTTTTTCCAATTTTCCATTTAGATATGCATTTTTGATGTCAAATTGACGAATTGACCACTCCAAATTAGTTGCCAAAGATAGAAGAACATGTATTATAATAAGCTAGGCAACTAGTGCAAATGTTTTCATATAATCTATGTCGCAGGTCTGAGTGTATCCTTTTACCACCGAGCGAGCTTTGTAGCTTTTTATTGTTCTATCGACTTTATATTTTACATTGAGCACCCATTTGCATCTCACGAGTCTTTTTTTCTTTCGGTAGGTCCACCACTATTCAAGTTTCATTTTTTTGTAAGGCGTGCATTTCTTCTATAACTGTTTTTTTCCATTCAGGGATTCCCAAGGCTTCTTGAATGTTTATTGGGATTGTTGTACCATCAAGTTTAGCTGTAAAAGTACGAAATTTTGTAGGTAAAGTATTTTATGATATGAACTTTGAGATGGGGTAAGGAGTACATGATTGAGTTTGTTTTCTGAGTGCCATGGATTGGTTGATATTAGAATATTCGAGATCACGAGGGTTTGGAGCTATGATGGATTCCAACTCTCTTGGTGCTTCAGATACGGGGTTCTCCTTTGTTTTTGGCTTCCTCGAGTACATTTGTATCTCCTTGTCTTTCTGTTTTCTTGCATCTCCCCCGAGTTCAAGTTTTGTTCTGTATGTGGTATATTGAAAATTGTTGGTGTGATAGAGTTTGAATTTAAGTTCAAGGTATGTTTTGGAGGAGAGAGATCAAAATCTATGAATCGATCTTCATACAAATTATCCCCTTGAAGAGAGAGCTCTTGAAGGTAAGGTGTTTCCTTAGAATGTCACATCAAGGCTTACAAATGTCTTTTTCTGTAAATGGATCATAGCATTTGTAGCCTTTTTAAGTGGTGGAGTACCCAATGAATACACTTTTAACTGCATGAAGGTCTAGTTTATTCTGATTGTGAGCATGGCAAATGTAGTATAACCAAATACCCCGAGAGATAAGATTAGATTATAAGCATAAGGTAGGAAAGAGTTTTTGAAATTTTTGAAGGGGTGATTCAAAGTCAAGTGTGCGGCGAGGTATCCTATTGATAAGGTAGGTAGACATTAGAATGATATCTCCCCAACATATTTTTGGCATTCTTGTAGGGAACATTAAAGCACGGACAATTTCAAGGAGGTGTTTATTTTTTCGTTCGGTAATCCCATTTTGTTGGAGTGTCGGTGCAAGAGTTCTAATGGACTATCCCATGTTTTAGTAGGTAGTCTCGTAAAATGGAATTGAAGTATTCGATGACATTATTTGTGCTGAGGATTTGGTTTTTGGAACATAAAGTACCAAGTTTAGTGTTATAGATCCTGAGATTTGGGTATTCCCTTTTTCTGCAACAGTTGAGAGCGACCCATCTGCAATCTTGGCTTTAATATTAGTAACACATGATATATATGTGGAGAAAAGGTGGTAGGAGTCCATCATGTGATCGGATGCACCTGAATCAATAATAAATGGGTTTTTGTATTTTGAGGAGGTAGTCAAAGCATTTAGGTGATTACCTTTGTAAGCAAGTGAATTTAACGAACCGTATGAGGAATGATGACTCGAATTTTAATGACCGGAGAAAATTTGATACAGCTGTTCCAATTATTCAAGATTAAATGCACCTTTTGTAGTAGAAATATATTCCTTGGAATTTTCAGCAAGATCAATTGATGCGTGATAGACTCGATATTTTGGATTTTGTTTTGGCTTCCATCTGCGGGCTTCCCTTGTAAAATCTCAACATGTATCTTCCTTGTGCTCTAGTTTACGACATTGTTATCTGGTAGTTGGATTATGGCCTCTTACCATAAAAATGGCCGCATGTGCTGCAGCACCAACTATTCACACCAAGGACGCCCGCTGATGGAATAATCCTACCTAACTATGAAATAATTAAATAAGGCACATTAGTCATTCCAAAATCATCCCTAATGACATACAATCAACCAACCGGTTTTCTACACTAACGCTTTTGTACTTTTGCTGAAAAAGACTTTGAGTGCTAACTCAGGTATAACAAAAGAATATTTGCTGTAAGTTGATCAATAGGAATCATAGGTAATGAAAAAAATGCTTGCATGTTTCGTCGATTCTGCAGTTTCTGAAGAGTTTTCTTCGCAGATTCGTAGCCATGCTCAGAAATATTTTCTGAAGGTCCAGAAGAATGGAACAAGTGAACGTGTACCTCCTCCACGTCCTAAGAAAAAAGCAGCGCATCCTTATCCACAAAAAGCTCCCAAAAAAGGTTAGAACTGTAGCTATTCTTCTGTATTTCCTCCATATTTTTTTCCTGCTCTCTCTCAAATTAACAGTTGTGTCTCAAGTCACTGGAGCATTGCGGTCTTCAGCTGCTATGCTAGAAACTGGATATGTTGTGAGGCCGGATTCATTGTCAGCACCTGGAAATGCAATTAGTGGTGCAGCTTTATCGCCTTGGACTTGTAAAGTTCCTCCAGCAGGCAATGTTTCACACATGTCAAGAGGTATGTTTCTAATGTTTAGCATGCTTGTATTTAACCTTTTTTAGAGAAGTCAGTGGTGTCATCCTGCCTAAACAATGTCCTGTACCGGTGTTTCAGATGATATGAGAACAGCCAATTTTACAGTGACACATAATTATAGCAGTAGCAGTAATGAAAGCACTACTCGGCTGTGGCCCAAAAATGAATCAAATCCCCAAGTAAAGGAGAAACAAAACCCGCCAACAAAAGGTAATTTTCTTTCGTTTTCTGTTTTATAATCTGTGGATTTATTAAAGCCAGAGTAATTAGGGACTCTGTAAGCTCATTATACTCGTTATATGTTAGGGCAAAATATATCAGAGCAACTTCTGATCTACAGGTGAATTTGTGAAAGCCCTTCGATAATGTCCCATACTCCCATTTGTTACTTGCAGACTTCTAAATGGGCTGAAAGATATCTCTTCGAGGCATGATGAGCAATTTAGATTAGACAACTGAAAGACATGTTAGTTCATAGGATTTGTAGTGGGACCGAGGTATGGGAGTCAGCAAATTAGATTAAGACAACTGAAAGACGTTATTTCATAGGATTTGTGTTGGGAATTAGATGTGAAGTTGCCATTGGACTTTCTTTAGATAAATTTTTTTTTAATTGAACTTAGGCCCCTTAATTAGCAAGAGCACTCTTTAGATGATCATACGAGTGTAGGAAGTTGTTACCTTTTCAAGTTCATTTGTACCTCACTGCTAGCACAACATCTAGCTATTTGTTGATTTTCATTATTTTCAAAATAAATTTTTCTCTGTCTTCTTTTGAATCACACATTATTTAATAAAATAATATTATATGCAGTCTAAAACTTTTCCTTATTTTTTAACAACATATTCTCTATCAATCTACTATTTCAAAATGCATTCTTGGGGAAAAATGGGGCTGAAACGGACTCGTAGTATTGTTTTAGGGTGAGAAAGAGATAAGTGGATGACCCTTTCGAATGATGGGGAAAATGGTCAGAATAGATTGTTTGTCCACTTGCCCTTGTGTACTGGAAAGCTGTTGGTGATACAATCAGGATGTGTCTCATAATATGTGCAAGTAATTATGTTTATCGATAATATGTAATTACTGTTGTATATCTACTGAGTCGTGTTCATGAGTGGGTATGTTTGTATATAGTTGTACTTCAAACAGCAGTCAAAGCCATACTGAGAATCTTCAGATTAAATATGATTACAAGGCATCATTTTCATTGATATCTTACATTTATTTGTGTATGCATATGTTTACATTAGCAATGTAATTAGCTGTTTGGGTTATTTCAGGTTGATTATTTGTTTAATGACTTCATTTGTTAGATTTGTTGATTGAGCAGAACTGTGACTCTGAAAGTCAATATATTTGTATTTATTTAACTGAAGCTGTTTGGTCCATATATGATATACAACTATATATGGGAAGAGCATTGCATTCTACATTTGAAGAGTTTGTTTGGGATTAACAAGTGATGTATTTCCTATTTATGCACATATTCTTCGTTGATGCAGTTATGCCTGATTTTGCTGAAGTCTACCGCTTTATTGGTAGTGTCTTTGACCCTAATGCAAGTGATCACATGGAAAGACTGAAGAAGATGGACCGCATAAATGTTGAAACGGTAAAGTCAGAATTCATAGCATCATTATTTGGGCAAAAAAAAAAAATTTGAATAGTGATATTTCGGAGAATTTGTGGTTAAAAAGTAGGGAAAAGTTTTGGTTTACATTTGGAATATTTTAGTGTATGCATGTGTGGTTAAAAATGAGTGTGTAGAAAAAGGAGTTTCCAAATAATGGTTGTCAAACGGAGGCTAAGTTTATGTGGCAGTAGTGCTGGGGGCTGCTCAATTATACTGGATTTGGGTGTGAATAATACAAGATGATGTTAGTTTTCTTATGAAGACGATCAACTACGGCTAAATTTTGTATCCATATAACATCTTTCTCCTGTAACTGGATGTATAGTAAGCGCCAAACAGTGCCTTTGGCTTCTCCCGCAAGTGGAACTTTCTTATTCTAACCTAAGATAGAGATTGTAAAATTATTTAATTTTGTCTGCTCTTGTAATCTGCCTGACAGAAGCTAGTTATCGTGAAGTCATCCATTCATGATCTCTCACATCTGGGAGAGACTCAGATGAGAATAAAATATAAGACTACCGAATAACGATATTTCAAGTTAGAAGTGTGGGAAGCCCTTCTTGCATAGAAAGTATTGTGAACCATTTAGATCAGTCCGTCACAAGATCGGCAGGCAGAATTCATTTAGTTTTTCATGTTTGCTGAAACAAGCTTGGGACCAGCTCCTCTCACAAGACAAAATTGATCCTTTGGCTCTAAGATATTCTTCATTAAGTCACTATACTGGGAAGTCCAAACTTAATAAGAAATAAAATGCTTCTCTGAAGCCAGTATGTGCAATATAGATAATTTACCGACATTCTTACACTGTTTTTGCCTGTGTTTTAGTCGCTTCTCATAATCAATGTTGGATTCGTCAGTTATGTTTCTTGGAGTTCTCGGTCAAGCATTTGATTGATTATGAATATTATTATTGGTATTTCTTCTCCAGGCGGTGATGTTGATGAAGAATCTATCTGCAAATTTGATGAGCCCTGAATTTGAGGATCATGTAAGATTTCATTATCCCAGTTTCCCTTTCCATTGTCCTTCCACCTGTTGCCCACTGCATGCTAAGGTTAATGTTTTGTTACTCGGTGTTTGAGCTTTAGACGCTTTAAATCACTGATTTCAATGTCTTGGCCTTTTGGATATAAGATATGATTAACCTGTCCATGATTGAAGCCAATGCACAATTCATTTCTACCAATGCATAGATCCAACCTTAAGCCACAAATGTAAGGCAGGGGAGCTATTGAAAGTGACACGAATAATCAATTTCTCTTCTCGACCATGGAATGTTAAAGAAAGTGATGATCCCTGAACATTGAACTTCTAAATTATTGGATGCATTAATTCTAACACTATGATTTACTTTTCGCCTTCTTACATTCTATATGACATTGCTGCATTTTTCAATTCTCAGCCATGTTTTTGTGGCTATCGTAATTATCTTTGATCTTTAATTTTGTACCCCCACAATTATAGGATCTTGTCTCATTTTTCTGTTGCCTGCTGCCGAAGGCCTTTTCTATAGTCATCAAATCTGTGTATCCTGGAACATTGATCAACATCAAGTTTTCCTGGGTTTCGGAGTCTTTAGCCAAGACACCCAACACAATATTCAGCTGAGGTCATCTTTTGAACCCTTTGGGGTTTGAATATGAATGAAAACTGGGATATTACTGGTGGTTTCTTCAAATAAGCCTATGTTCGGAAAAGATTATTAGCAACATTTTTGGAACATTTTAGGAGGAATATTGAAGGGGACTACAAAATGTGTGGAAATAATTAGTTAGTAATTTTGAATACGTGGTTGAAATTTGATTTTGACTGGGTAGTAGAAGTAACTTTTAATTTACGAAAAATGTTCCTCAAACAGAGGCTAAAAATTGAACTTTTGACCTGTCTTGAAATTTTCGGCCGCATTTATTAAAGATATTTTTTAGGCTGCTGATAGTGATTATGTGCTGCATTTCAAGTCTTTTTATTATGCATTGCCTAGTAACTATAGGCATAATTGGGCTAAGCATCTTTTAAGCTTAAGCCAAAATGTAGTCATAGGACAATTTGGTTGAGGTATAAGGGACTTTATTCTTGATCATCCTGATATGATTTATTCCCATATAATTTTAGTTGTGTCGCTTCATAGTAGTAAAATCTCTATTTTGAGTATAAGCTGTTCATGTAACAGATTAATATCAGAAAAATTTACTTAGAATCTGTTCCTTTTTAAGGTCCTTGGTGAAGCCTAATTATGCACTTAATTTGATTGATATAAATGACTGCTTGCCTGCAAAAATATTTTATCTAATCACTTGCCTCAATCTTGTTTATTTTTTATTGTTGATACAGAGGAGGATGTTTTCATCATACGGTGTTGGCATCGAGAAAGATAACTTTGATAGCCCTTTGAAAAATCTTCAAGTTGACAAAGTTGGGAAAGCAATTCCAACCGCATAGAAAGGGAGGTGAAGGTTCATTCGCAGTTTCATAAGGTTTCCATTTTCCACTGCTTATTTCAGGTCTACTGAAGAATATGGAAGGTGAAGATCCGGGCTCGTATTGCTATGTACCTGTCATGTATATCCGCAGTTTTTCTGCTCCATGTCCTGTTGTATACATGTAAAAACAGTGAAAAGGAATGGTCTGTTCTTGTGGGTCCCCTGAGACAAATTTATAGAAACTAGTATGTACAGAAATTTTAGGCAGTTTCGATCTCGTGTGTATATGTTAGAATTCTTGTTTTGCTCACTAATAGGTGTTGTGGAGATGTACAAGGGTGTTTTCTTGAGGTTTTGTTGAACTAGTCGAGATCAACTGGCTTTTGACAGTTTTGTAAGCGTGTGAGTTACATAAGAAGTTGGTTTGTTACACGATCTCTCACGCTGTTAATTTGCAGGACTGTTACATGGGATTTTAACAAGAACTTTGTGTATGTCAATCATGCTCGCCTATAATTATCTTGGCTGGCTCGATTTGTTTCACTTCTATATATAAAATACATATCATAGCTGTACAGCCCATTTAAGCAATTTTTATCAATTTGGGAAATGGTAAGCGTGGCAAGAACGGTAACTAAATTGAAGTTTATCAACTCAGTTGAGACGAATAATGTTTTAGTGACCGAGTTCAAATTAACAGTGACTGCAGATGAAATATACCTAATCAACTTTTGAGATGCAGAAATCAGATGCCTACATGCAAGCGGGGGAGATACTATGATGATGCACCAGAACTAACCTGTACTAATAGCATATCAGTTGGCAGAATCTTCATAGCAAAGCATTTGAATTGATAATTTAAACGAAGAAAATCAGAAAGAGAACAAAAGCGTCATAATTCGTCATAATTATGCACAAACATCATCCCGTTTAGAAAGTCTTTTATTCCCCATTTTCATTAGGTTCGCAAATTCCAGTGCTACACCAGTCATTCACAGATATGTACACATACAGAAAACCCGAGAGGATTGTTTCTGGGATAAGCATGCTCGACAACTAACGACAGATAAACCTTATAGCCATGTTTTAACTCCTTATCACACTTGACTATCTATGTCGGAAACCCATGTCTAACTCATGACGATGAGTTCCTTGGTTACGACCAGCAGCGAGGGGGTGGATTTGCTTTGACCTTGCCTGAATTTCCATTTCAATTAGCCTTTGAAATGACTCGGGGTTGGCTCTGGAATTGATATCAGGAGCTGATAAAATCATGAGAATAATATTCATTAATTTTCATACGAAGACAATGAAATATTAGAATATAAGTTTTATATTCAAATCTAGATATTACAAGGCATGCCTAGAAGAATATGCTTGTCAACTGCAAGTTACTGAGAAAATAAGCAAAATTTGCACGAGATTTAGTGCATATTAGGTAAGCTTAAATGTCAAACATACATTTTATCAACCAATTTTGTATGACCCACTACTACCCACATAATAACTCATTTCATAGAACCCATAACTTATAATCACCCCCCAAGCGTGTTCTATGAACTTTAGATGATGATGTCAAACATACATTTTATCAACCAATTTTGTATGACCCACTACTACCCACATAATAACACATTTCATAGAACCCATAACTTATAATCACCCCCCAAGCGTGTTCTATGAACTTTAGATGATGTGCATATTTTTGCTCATAATTAAACTTTTCAGTTCAAAAATAAGCAAGATAAATATGCAGCTCTTAGCAATATAATTAGAGACTCTGTAAATTTGGAACTTTCTTACATGGAATGGGCATCCCAAGACTGCCAATGTTGGGTTGGTCAGGTCCAAAACGATAGCCTAGAATTGGATTCATTTCCTGAATAAAACCAGTTGGTTGATTGCCAGGACGAGACACTGGACTGCCCCTGGTGAACTCTGGTAATAGATGAGGCGGATTGCCTGACATCTGCATTTGATGTAGCATTGAAGGGTGGTGAGCAGGTATGTCAAACCCAGCAACCCCCGCATTAGAGTGATGAAAAGGCGGTTGGATCATATTTCCAAGAAACTGGTGATTGGCCGAAGATTCCTGATTAAGTACAACGCCTTGATCCATAAACTTCAACTGGGAAGTTGTGTGAGCACGATGAGAATCCATGGGATGATATAATGGTCTCTCAGGAGTCATTTGTGGAGGCTGAAACTGGGACGATGATTGCTGGGTCATAAAATGATGATAGGGAATATTGGAATCCATTTGTTCACGAGGACCATGTATAAAGGGCAGACTTTCTGAACCAAGCATAATTTGTTTGTCTTTGATGATGGCATTGGTAGCTGCCAGTTTTTCCGGTATGTCAAGAGGTGCATTTGAATTACCAGTTGGAATAAATGTTGAAATCTGATGATTCTGTTCACCTACAGAAATTAAGCTCTCCTCTTCAGGCAGCTGAAACTCAACTGCCCCGTCAAAGCCACCATGTTTAGAGACTGCTTCAGTACGATGATTTGAATCAATTTGGGAGTCGTCATATTCCACCCAGTTCTCACTCTTGCCTGTTTTGGTTTGCTTTCGCTGGTTTGAAGTTGAATTACTATTATCATGATTTGTCCTTTCAAATCCAGCTTGATCAACTCCCAAGGCAAAATTGTATTTATCCACTATTGGAAAGGACATTCCATGCGGCTCCAGGGCATCAATTCGTTTATACTCAACTGGTTCCCTTTGGACGGAAACAGGTGCATCAACTGATTGCAGCTCCTTCATGAAAGCAGAACCAAAGAGAGATTCCATCGTAAGAGACTTCCCCAAATTACCAATATTTATGGAACCCACTTCGCCTTTAGGTTCATTTACAGTATTGCCCTTATCATGTTCTTTAGAGACTAGTAGTTTGCCTGCAAAGCCCAGATCCATACTAGAGTTCGGGATCAAATTACTCGTGTCTATTTCCTTCTGTAATAATGAAAGCAGGTGTCCAGATGCATGATCATCAACATGATCTCTTGGCTGCTCAGTATTCGCACTAGTAGTGTTCCAGCCTTGTAACATTGGCTGCACATTTGATGTCTTTGCACTGTATTCCGACAAAATCGATTGTTCAAGGTCTTCGCAGGTAAGGACAGCAGGAACAATCTCATTTTTGTTACTAATGCACACCTGCTCAGAGACCTCATTAGCTGCAGAAGGCACACCAAATCTTAACTTATTACTATGCTCAGAGCTCTTGTAGGAAAAATCACGTGGAAGGTTGTCATCTGTTTTCAAGCCAGAAACTTGATATCTGCCCTTATCGCCACTGACAATTAATGATAGCAAATCATTGGGCCTTCCAGATGTGATATCATCCGTTGGCTTTGCATCTGCAGTGCGATAAAAGGAAAAATAATAAAAACATAGAGAGAAAAGCCTTTAGAATTTCTTACAACATATGATGCAAAATATTTTAGGACTGTACCTTCCTCGAAAAACGATTGGGAAAACTTCGATGACTGGACAGAGCTCCACTTATCATCGAGTTTACTATCTTGACACTAGAAGAGTTGCGCAAATAAAGAAGTATTAGTAATATAGAACCATACAGTGCATATTAAGGGAAGAATAAGTGACATGAAAAGCTTGTTAGATTGGACACAAAATATAAGGGAAGAACCTCTTTTTCACACCAGAAATCATCAATTGCCCCACAACTTAACAAACTAAATCTACCACAGGGCGTCTCAAACAAACAAATCATCAAAAAGAATGGAAAAGTGCCGCATGGTGAAATAATATTTCTCAAGTTATAGGCACAAACAAGAACATGCCAAGCACAAGTAGCCTAACTAAAAATAAATATTTCAGAGTCTACACGATAAACATTCGCATCCATGGCATCGAGTCAAGCTTTGTAAATTTTCAGGGATGATTTAAAAGGTATCCGTATCATTTTATTTATAGAAGGCATCCATATTTCTGAATGTGGTCAAGGACCAGGTAAATGAAAGCAATAAGGCCCCAGCATAATAATTGAGATTGGATTATAACTTATGAATGTTCTAATTGCTCAATTTGAGAACAGAAAAACATCCCTGACAATCTATGACATTATTACCCTGCTCATTCCCATCAGCCTTACATCTCAATTTGTTGAAGGACCTGGACAAGGAACATTTAGAAGCATATTTAGAGCAGTAATTACCTCGGCCTTACAGGATCCGCCTCCATTCATTGACAATGTACTGCTAAAATTCTTTTCCAAATTTGGCGTTGGATAACTTCCCCTGGACTCACCTACAATTTTGTCCTCCAGTACCTTGGCATCAAGTTCAAGGATTTCGGAACCACCCAAGGTTTGATGAGCATCTAAAGGTTTAGAATTCTGGTGTAACTCATTTTTCATTCCAAGTTTATTGCTTGCTGAATTTGAAGTTGAGTGAATTTTTATGTTTTCCCCTTTGTTCAAGTGCAGTGCATGGTTAGTCTTATCTTTAGGCTGTACATTAATTAAACTACTTTCCTGTGATAACTGCCTCTCTAAACTATTGCGGGTACCATTTTGGATGGGGTTGGCTCCAGCATGAAAGAGGCTTTCCCCTGTTATAGTTTTTTCAACCTGTACAAGTAAAAGATGTTATCAGCACTTATGAATGAAGATTAAATCATCAACGATGCCATCAAAAAAGGGATTCTTATGAAGAAATCAATCAGGCACAGTTTTTAAAATTGGGCTGCACAATAATGGAAATCGCGTAGAAAAAATGAACCACATAAAATTGAGAAGACTAATTAAAACAAACCCCTAGGCAAATTTATAGCACTGAGCACCAGTAAACAGGATATCACTTACACCTTGTCAATTCAGTCCTGTCCCAGAACTGGGGAAACATTCGTTAGATATAAAAGCAGATTACGAAGTCACCTGCTAGTCAACTAGACAAAAACATGCATGAAGGTGTGTCAACAACAGAAAGATACTTCAAAAGAGAATGTTTATGGCAGGCCCGGGCATACTATAGTCTATTATATGAAATCAGTTCAGACAAGATGGCCAGCCAGTAATGGGAATGCCTCTGTCAGCCATAATCGTGTTGCTAATAAGCACAGCTTAGCAAAAACTAGCAAGTCATTCATGAGAACGAAAAAGGACTTGAAAAGAAGGAAAACTCAAAATACTTTTAAAAGATGCCAGAGGTTACTCATTGCATATTATGTACCTGTCATTAGCGCCTCTGATTAACAGACATGTAAAGCTTTGAATCCCCAACCAAGGAAATTATGTGCGCGCACACACAAAAAAAAAAAAGAAAAAGAAAAAAACGAGTAAAGAGGAAAACAACATACCTCTGACGAAGGAGGATGCATCAAAGATTTCAAGCCGAAACTCTTATCCAGAATGTTGTTTGTAAAACCTGGAGGAACAAGTGGCCTAGACGCAGGTGAGTGTGAAGCAAA